AACGTAAAATGACTATTATACCCTCATATATAAATAAATAAATAAGAAAAGAAAAGAAAAATAAAGAATAAATTGCAATCTTACTCCTAATCTTTTTTAAAAATGCAAATGAGTCCAAAATTTATAAAACCATTAAAATTAACAAAAAAAAATCTCTCTCCTCCACATCGTCCACCGTCGCCAACGTCTATGCCACCTGAAAATTCCCCTCCACCTTCGGCATCAAGCCTCCAGAAAGTTCACCCCCTCCAACTCTGACTCATTATCTCCACCATCTTTGAATTCTCAATAACAGAAAATCAATTTAATCTCAACCACAGAAAAGGCGATTGGGGTTTATAAATGGAAGGCACGAAGGATTGTTAGGTCGGTCTTGATTGAAACCTTCATTCTTGCAGCTCCAGCCTTCAGCTTCCATTTCAATTCAGCCTTCTCCACCTCCCATCGCCTCCTCCGACTCAGGTCTCGCAGGCCGCAGCTGCTTCGCCACCTCCTTCCCTGAGTCTGTGAAGTTCCGCAGGACAGCAACTGTTCGATTCGAGCCCTAGACCAGTTGACCAGCTGCTTTGCCTCCGCGACTACCGGCGATTCTTGACCCCGAAGAAGAAAAAATAGAGGTATGCCCGATTCCTTTACTCCCGAGCTCAAATTAGACAGTTGGGCAAACGTTAAAGGCCCTGAATATCCAAAAAATCAATAATTCATCCCCAGTAAACTTCAAATCGCAGACCCAGTAAAAGAATAAAATAAAATATACTCGGAAGTGAAGCGGGAGAATCTTTGGTATCAAATTCTTAGGGGGAGTCTTGAATGAGCTTCTGCAAGTCAATTGCTTTGAACTTTTTATTATTTTTGCTATTGGTATTGCTGTAGCAGGCACCATGCGTGAAGGGGAGAAGAGAGTTGGAGGAGAAGAGGCGGTTGGAGGAGAAGAAAGTTTTTTTTGTTTTGTTTAATATTTTTATAAATTTTTGACTCATTTGCATTTTTTAAAAAGATTAGGAGTGTGATTGCAATTTATTCTTTATTTTTCTTTTCTTTTCTTATTTATTTATTTATATAGGAGGGTATAATAGTCATTTTACGTTAA